CAGCCCGATCATTAAGCCATCTGCGCTATGGTCACAAAGTCATTCCTCTTTCAACCTCACTAGAACATCCTAACCTGCGGAATACTACCCGTCTACCGTGGTCCTGGGCTTGTCTCCACACGCCCTCCCAACCGTCGTCTCTCATTTTCTCGACATTCCCGCACCTGCATCAACCTGGACCCTTACAACACGCTCCTATCGCATCTCAAACCCTCGATACGCACTGAACTCCCCCTCCCCCTCAACTCTACGACACATTCCCAAGACGTCTAAGAACCAACATCACCTTCTGCAACTCCAACCGTCACATGAGATGAACTAAAGCCCCCTCGAGCATCGAGCATCATCGTCCAAGGACTCCACAATAGGTATGTCCAGTCCATCGCTCGTCATGACGCATCTCCTAACGTGTACAGTCCTTCCCATTGGAAGTATCTGCTATAACAGATCTTCAACACAAAAGGGTATATTCACATCAATATGCATCCAGAATCACAAGCACAGCCACATGGCTGGGCCTCCCTTGAGGAGAGGTATGAGGTGATGAAGGAGATTGGTGACGGCAGCTTCGGCAGCGTCGCGCTTGCACGCGTTCGAACTGCGGGATCTCACATCGCTCGTCGTGGTACTCTGGTATGTACAACGTCACACAGGAACTGAGGTATCGAGTCAACTGACGCGTCACAGGTCGCGATCAAGACCATGAAGAAGACTTTCGACTCGTTCTCGAGCTGTCTTGAGCTTCGGGAAGTCATCTTCCTACGATCACTACCACCACATCCTCATCTGGTTCCAGCCTTGGACATCTTCCTGGACCCTTACAGCCGAAGGCTTCACATTGCCATGGAATTCATGGACGGTAATCTGTACCAGCTCATGAAGGCACGGGATCACAAGCCAATGGACGCGCACAGTGTAAAGAGCATTTTGTTCCAGATAATGTCCGGACTGGAGCACATTCACGACCGCGAGTTCTTCCACCGTGACATCAAGCCAGAGAACATCCTCGTCTCAACATCGCAACAAAACGACACATCGCACCCCTTCCGACGTTACTCAGCAATGATGACTCCTCCTTCAACACCCCCAGCCTATACGATCAAAATTGCCGACTTTGGCCTAGCAAGGGAGACACACTCCAAGCTTCCATACACAACCTATGTTTCCACCCGATGGTACCGTGCGCCTGAAGTGCTCCTACGTGCTGGCCAATATTCAGCACCTGTCGATATCTGGGCAGTGGGTGCTATGGCTGTCGAGATTGCAACCCTGAAGCCCCTCTTCCCTGGTGGAAACGAGGTTGACCAAGTCTGGAGAGTGTGCGAGATCATGGGCAGCCCTGGCGGTTGGGTCAACAAGCACGGCCAACGTGTCGGTGGCGGTGAGTGGAAAGAGGGCGTCAGGTTAGCGCAGAAGCTGGGCTTCTCATTCCCCAAGGTATGTCACTCGAGATTGTTGATACACGATTCCGGCTAACAATCACATAGATGGCCCCACACTCAATAGACACCATTCTGCCATCACCACAATGGCCTGCTAGCTTGGCACAATTCGTCACATGGTGTCTGCTATGGGACCCCCGCGCAAGGCCTACTTCTCGACAAGCTCTTGACCACGAGTACTTCCAAGACGCTGTTGATCCTCTACGCCTTAAGTCCTCGTCGTCTCGATTGTTGGGTCGCAAAGGATCCGAAATCTCTGGCAAGGACTCACCAGATGCCTCGCCCAAACTCACATCCAAGACCTCGTCATGGCTTCGTCGATCACTCGTCGCTCGTGAGAGTGCCCCAGCAGTCCCACAACACACCACACAGCAACCTTTGTCACCTCGGCCATCTCCAGCTCACGCGAATTCTGATGTGAGTGGGTCAACCAAGCAACGCCCGGCTGCTACTAAGCGAGCTACGTGGACAAATGGGGCTTCCAACAATGGCGCGCCTATCCCAATCTTGCCTTCCATCAAGCCGATCTCACCACTTTCGGCCGAAGTCACTGCACAAGCCACTGCAGCAAGCAAGGTCGGACGACAGCTCTCCGTCAATTCACACGGCAATCACTATGCGGATGTGCACCGACAAGAGGCAGAAAGAGCCCTGAATGGACAGTCGGATGTGACATCTCCTGTTAACGGCCAGAAAGAGGGCTTCTTCTCGCACCTACGCAAGCGCGCTCGACGCCTCTCAGGCCGTTATCAGACCCCCATGTCGCCAAACTCAGACGACATCGAAGCCAATGCCGGATGCGCTCCATGGGCGGCCACTAGCGCCAGGCAATCCTTGATCATGGATCAATCACAAGGCGCCCAATCAGCCTCCACTTCCGATTTCTCTGAGCTAGACAAAGCACTGCAGCATGTCAGAGACAGCGTGGAGGCACATTCCCAACAGACTGCCTCAACGAGGAGCTCGCGTGTTGCAACGAACCCAATGCTCAAGCGCCACCACTCAGTACCTCACGGTCCTGAGCCCCGAAACCCAGAGAACGGACCTAATGCACCAATCTCCTCTAGGACACGACGAGCGCTCCAGAACAAGTCTAACCCGTCAAATCAGTACGAGGTTCCCAACGAAGAAGAAGAGTTGCTCAGCGAAGTTCTTGCATCCGCAACAAAGGCTGCAAAGAAACTGGACCAGCCGAAACCGCAAGGTCCACGCCCCGCTGTGTCATACCCGACTCCGTCTCCATCACAGAACCGCAACAGTGTGGGGTTCGGACAATCTGACTATATGACACCCAGCAAGCCTATGGACATTTCCCAACATCAGAGCAAGAACGAGCAATGTGTTTCCAAGTGGCCAACGCCGCCCGATGACGGTTCAGACTGGGCTTCAAGTGTGGCCGCCAGCCTGATGGCAGCTCAAACCCGACACCGATGATATCCAACATCGCGGGACCCATACTTCTTTTCGCCTTGCCTTCGCTGCATGCTCTTCCATCCATATAATTGTAATTTGGGTCACCGCACCCGCTCATTGTCGCTTCCTATACGACCGTACGACATTGAGCTCTCCCGTCTGGAACGGTGCACGATTACAGAAAGATAGACACAGACGCTATGCGCTGCAAAGCCCTCAAAAGCAAAGCGCACTCTCTGGGATGGTGTTACTGGCGTTATAACACACCTCATCGTCCTTTTGCGCAACCACTATCGTTTTACCATTTCACAACGTTAACGTTGTCCTTTTTTCTCTCTCTCAATATCAGCTCCACATTCGCTCTGTACCACCACCACATATTTTCCTTTTACTGAGTCAACATCTCGGGTGGCATCTTACATCATACTTGTGGCGGATCGACACGAGATTATCGTCTGTTCATTTCGCGGGAAATTGTCGATACCTTGTCAGCAAGTTACTCGGGTCTACTACAGGGATTGTCCGTGTTTGGGGACACCCTGTGTACACCTTGCTTCTGTTTCAGTTTTTTTTGGCGCGTCTTGCTGGCGCTATCCCGTACTATACTAGACCGAGTTTCCTTTATGTGCTTCATCTCGTCGGCGGATACCCCCAGTTTAAGCATTTGGCGACTACATCATACCATCACCAGTATTATTTACATATATCCTTGTTGGTTAAAAGGGAAGGGGTGATGGAGGGAGGTAACCTTGTTTTCTTGGGATAAAACTTGGTACATGGGAGGTGGGTAGAATAGTTTTTGAGCGATCAACTGGCCCTGTTTCAACTCTCCTTGCGTACCATTTTTACCTGCACTCTCCTTGCGTACTCTATCTTGATTTTTTTCTCAGCCCCCACATACCAACCGTTGTAATATGTAATAAGACATATAGCCCAGGATGGCTAGTCATTGTATGTTTCTTGCCTCGCGTCTTTCGCGTATGGCTCATGGGAAGGAGTTTGATACCACCTGGATTCTGTTTTCATACTGCAAAGCCTCGGTTCTGGCTGGACCGAACGCGTATCTCATATGTAACATTAGTTAGCTACTCCATCATCATCAATGAACGCTGCTCGCCTGCCTGCGCCTATTGCGGCATCAGACTGCAATAACTATACACTGTTCTATCCTCAGCATCCATGCCAGACCCTGTATATCTATCCGCTTTGACGGCAACAAGTAGCTGCTTTCGCCACAGGACACGCAATAATCTTGCGTCACCTTGACCAGACAACGCATCACCCGCGTTATCGCCACAGCCATGAACCCTTCTTGCGTTCACGGTGACTCAAGACTAGCCACGTCTTCGCTTGGGCTTTGGGCTTCAAGCATATTCCCTATGTGCCACAGACCCTGATTCTCCGAGATCACCATCGATCCTACTCAAGATCGTCAATATACCGTACCGGCCTTCCTTACGTTATCTTCACTTGGCTTGGACAGCATCTTCCTGGACATATAGATGAAAAGACGGTATGTGAGTATACAGCGTTATCCTCGTCAGCGTCGGGCAGCCGAACTCCACGGCATGATCGTCAGCTCAAGTGCAGATCATGTCCGTGTGTAGTGACATTGGTATTGTGTATCTTGCGCTCCCTCGCCTAGCCTGTGTGAGTGGTGATCGTGGAGAGAAGGAAGTGCGCGTGGTACAGTAGGGGGTGAGGGCGTTAGGGGATCAGGGCCGGCCCGTTGCGTATACACTTTTGCATGTGCAGCCACAGCGGAAAAGACATGGAATGACGTCGGCTCTGGCTGCGGATAGGCAATAGTATTGCTTCTTCTACTTCTTCGATTGCAGAGGTTGGTAGCATAAAAGGGGGATATTACCGGCTGAAAAAAAAGAAAGCAAAAGGATGCGCTGAGGTTACAGTGAGAATGCAAGTCACACCTTGACATGCAATATAGAAAAAGCGGCTTCAAGTGTCTTGCAGCATGCCAAATCCGATAATCTTGATCAATGATGAGATATATTTGATTTTCAAAGAAACCCATAACCGATGCGAATGCATTATTGCACGGCCAGCTCCGGTTCTATGCTTGTAGAAAGAACGCCACCCAATGCTCATGCCCGTGTCTAATATGTTCGTTCTTTTGTAAACAAAGCTTTACCATCCGCCGCCAGCGGTCACGGCCAATCCAGCAACACGTTCCATATCGCTTTGCTTCTTTTTGCCAACATCGCTTTCTACTTTGATATACGATGTGTATATCAGCTTCTGTTGATCGACCGCCGTTATGCCGGCCCAATGTGCCATGAGATCCTTCATGCGCGATCTCGATATACCATCAACGACATCATGCTCGGGACTGTGACCATTCGTTCGCGCATTTGCCTCGTCTTCCGAATCGCTGCCCGAGAAGTAGGCCTCGTCTACCCTTGCGAGCCACTCTTTCTGCTCCTTCGGTCCTGGCTTCGGTGCGGGCGCATCTTCATTCGCCTCTTGGACCCCTTCGTAGACGCGTACTTCTTCTACTTCCTGAACCTTGACTTGGCCACCGCCGTTTGTACATCCGCCTGGACAAGCCATGACCTCGACGTAAGCATAGTCTTTGACGCCCTCTCCTGCGACTGTAGCACCACCTGGCCTTCTACTTACACCTGTCTTGCCGCCCGGTAACCTACTGGCTTTGGCTGGTTTAAGTCGCCGTACCAAGTTCTGGATATTTCTGAAACCGTAGAATCGTGCTGCTTTGATTATTGTTTCTGAGCCACGGACGACCGAGTACTCCACCACATCGGCATTGCGCCCTCTTGCGACTGATATCGAGGATCCCGGATTCCGAGCTTGGTATGTTTGTAGTATGTGGTGTAGATATCCACCGGAGGGCCCAGCAGCTACGCTCTGGTTCTTCCGGCGCGAAGGAGGGAATAGGAAAGCGTCGATCTTTGTGTCTGGGAAGGGTGTTCGATCGGCAGAGGAGAGCGGTGTTCGTGGAAGAGAAGCAAAGTTGATACCACGAGCAGCTGCAAGGTGTAGTAGCTCACGGGCTGTGATGACACAATCGGTGTCTCTTATCTTGTCCTGAGATTGATCATAGCTAGGTAACCAGGCAGCAGAGGTGAGCTCGCCACGGCTAGCCTCGAGTTTCTTGTCGAAACATGGCATGATTGCGAGATGCCATATCTGAGACGGTGGCACGTTGTATTGTTCGCTGAGTACTGACTTGATTAATGTGCCGGTAAGGGCTTGCGGCGACTTGAGACGCGAGAGATGTGGAAGGACATATGGGTGTGTCTTCTCGGCGTAGCATATCCAGCCAGGGCAGGCCGACGTAAGAATGGGTGCTTTCGGTGTGGTATCTATTGCGCCCTCCGAGCCAGGCTTTGGAGATGCCTTGAGTGCTTCGGGAGATAAAGCATTTGTAACCTCGTCCGCCGCCGCTACGAGGCAGGCTTCGCGCATGGCATTGGTGTCGATGACCCATGTGAAGTCACTTCCCTGGTGGCCACCAGACTTCAAGCCTGAGGGTCCACTGAGGAGCTGCGCAATCATATTTCCGGCTTCAACCTCGGAAACATTGAAGACGGCCGCCAGACTTGCGCGAGTCTGCGGTGAGATGCTGGCGACGAACAGCTTTCCTTGAGCATTGTGTCCATTTATACCCTTCGTCGCTCCGTTAATGGTATGTCCATTTGTTGCTCCATTTGTGCCATTATGTGCCAGCCACGGTGTGCGTAACGACGGGTAGGTATCGAGCGTTGTGAGGACCTCGGTATGCGATTGTAGCGAAACTAGTACTGCCTCTGCACTCGTTACACAGCCTGAGCACGCGAGACAGTCTGTAAGCGATATTGAAGCGGGTGGTGGCGGTTCTGCTGCAGCGGCTTTCTCTTCGGTCGTGACTTCGTATGGATCCTATGACCTTTGTCAGAATGCGCCGGCCTATGACGCAACGCGCGAATCAACACACCGAGTTATCTGCTTGTTGCACTGGAAGCGTCTCTATAGGCTTTATACACGCGACACCTGGCGAAATAAAATCGTTGAGGTCGTCTGCCGAAAGAATGGCGCTCATGTTGCGCCGTGTTCTAGTGGGGGAGGGGCGACAGGCGCTATCGCGATGCGACTTGAAGAATGTACACAAAGACAATAAATACCTTATTATGCAGGCAGAATTAATGATTCAATGAAGAAAGAAAGAAGAGCGCAGTACTACTTGAAAAGTCCGAATCCCTCGCCCCGATGTCGCGGAGAAAGCAGTTACGCAACGCGCCGGCCTATCGATAGGCTCGCATTTCTAAAAGATTCCGATGACAAACCTCCGCGGCGAGTTGCCACACTAGGTATCCACTTCCTCTGCATGCGAATCTCTGTTGCTGTTCACGTGCTCGCGCATGCCATTCTTGAATGCAACAGAAACACACGTTCACGCTTGGTTACATCAGCTGACGCGATATGGTTGCTCACCCAGCATAGGAACATATAGTACGCGGGGTGCGTCTGCTCGGCAGATTGATTTAGCCAGGCAAGCCGCGCATCGAATGGTCGTAGGGAAGGCCTCAAACCTGGAAAGTGAGCAACATGGATATAGTATTTCGATCTACCTCTGACCATACTATGTCGCTGCATCTTACTAGCTGATCATGCTTTCTTTCATATCTTCGCAGTACCGCTCCTGCTGCGCTATCCCTATGTATGCGACGCATTTTCATCGATACCTTGAGACCAATGTCTTCCAAGAGCAGCGCGAGATTCGAGGTTGCAAAGAGAAGGACTGCTTGGAGCTCGGCGCCTAGATTGCTGACGACATGTGTTTTCTTCGGTGCCTTGTGGTTATGGTTCAACATGAGGACGCCTGGAGTCTTGATACCGGCAGATTCATTTGCCTACGTACAAGATGAGAGCCTGAGGGACATTTTAAACACTACGTTAGGGGTATGGGAGAGCCCCAACCAACACTACCGTTCGCTAACACAGCCTAAGTTCGAAGGCATCTTGGTCCTCAACCTTCCATTCCGTACCGACCGTCGCGATGCGATGAGCCTTTCAGCAGCCGCCTCAAACATCAAACTCGAGTTCGTGGAAGGCGTCACGGGCGGGAGCATCAATGAGAAAGCGTACCCTCCACCAGAAGAAAACAGGAAGCATTCTGCAGGCATTCGAGGAAGCTGGAGAACACATATGAATGCTCTACAAAGGTACATGGTCTCTGAACTTTATTACGAGACGATAGTAAGCTAACAACCTGAAGAATAGTCGACCGTAATCTTACCACCGCACTGATTTTCGAAGACGACGTAGACTGGGACATTCGGATTCGTCAAAACCTACAACGGTTCGCACTCGCATCACGCTTTTTATCAGGGAACCATGGAATCTCTACTGTGAAGGACAAACTCGAAACGCATACAAACACAGAGACAGAAGACACAGCCTTCAAGATCATCGACGCTTCAAACCTTCCAAAGACACTAACCTCCCTCCCTTTATCTTCCATACCCTCCTACAGCAGCGATCCCCACATCTCACCATACGGCGACCCAACACAATGGGACATACTCTGGCTCGGTCACTGCGGTACCGGCATGCCACGTCCAGCACTCAGCCCACACATCCCCATCAACCATCGCCACAGCACTACTACGACCATCTTAACCCAACCCAACGATTTTACGGTCCCCTCTGCACAACACCTGAAAGCTCACCCCTTCCAAGGTGACCCCGACGCCCTAGGTACCACATTTCCGCCCCACACACGAATCTATCACCAAGCAACGGGCGGGACTCTATGCACAGTCAGCTACGCCGTCTCCCAACGCGGCGCCCGACGCCTCCTCCATCAATTTGGCGTAAGTGGGTGGAACGGCATTTTCGACAGCGAGCTAGGCCGGTGGTGTGCTGGCAATGATCCTGACATGGGCCGGCAGGCCCAGAACTCTCATACTACTGTGGAGGGTGGGGGCATAGGTGTGAATGGAGACGAGAGGGTGTGTGTAACAGTTCAGCCACCGATATTTGCGCATCATCATCCAAACAATGGGGAGAGTGATATTGGAGGGTTGGGTGGAGGTTATGCAAAAAGGTACGAGACAAAATATTTGAAGTATAGCGTTAGGATGAATCTTGCGGCTTTGATTGGAAGAGTGGGGGGAGAAGGTGACACGGAGGGTTTGGTGGACCAGTGGCCTGATGGTGAGGAATGAGGATGGTTGTCACGAAAGTGTTTCTGGAAGAGATAATCAAGTTGAAGTGATATGGTGGTAGTATTTCCAAAGTCCTTGTTGTAGCTGTTGCAATCCGCCTACTAAGGCTGTGGCTCTTGACTCTCCTCACTCTCTTCGCTTTCCTTCTCCCATGCATACAGCCATTTGCAAAAAGACAAATCTTCTCGGTACCCGCCGAGGCGTTCTCCCGTTACCTTCCTTCAAACTATGATTATAATGGAAATGAACGACTCGAAGGTATCATGAACTGAACAACAAGCGGCCGTCCCATCGTCCCCTCCGTGTAACGCCAGTAAAAGCCAAGAAAATGCACCCCTTGTACAATGCACAAGCTCACTGGGTATAATGACCTTGCGCCTTTTGTGTTCAAACAGATTCAATGCGTATTGCAGATGGCAGCCTTGATATGACTCCGGGCTCCGCTGGTTGCATGATCGATTTTGCGCCTGTCTTGTGCATAGTTCCGCATTGTTGTGCGACCCAGGGCTTTGTGTGGAAAGTATCGCGAATACGCAGTCCTTGTCGTCTAGCTGATCATTGGCAGCCTCAGTCCAATCGTATTCTGTTGCTCAAATCCGTCTTATTCTTCCTTCAGCCAAGAAAGAACATGCGGATCGTCCAACACAACTGTTCTCCATATGGCAAAATCGCATCAGTCGAAATTTTCAACCCTTCTGCGTGACTGGGACTTCACTCAATGAGCGGTTTCCGTACGCCTCCCACGATTGCAATTCCAAGTGCGCGCAAGCCTTCTGGGTCGTTGGATCGAATAATAGTACTGGCGGGTAACATGGGGTTGTCGGGTGTGACGTGTGCGGCGTCCTTGGCTGCCTGCTCAATAGCCTCCATCTCCTCTTTGCAGCCAGCATGGTCAAACGGACAAACGACAATGGGCTGACGGAGAAGAATATCCCTCGCTGACGACATTTGTGCCTACTCCCAGTCAGCAAAATTCACAACATCTGGTTTCAAGTGCAGCCTACCTTGACTGTGAGGTAATACTCTATTTTGTATAGAGTACCAGTTGTCGTGAATCCAGTAACAGCATACATGGGGAATTCTTTCTGCCCTCTAGGTATGATACCTGCGTTGTCTCGTAAATCTTTTGCGGGAAAGACCAGTCCAAGGTTGGTGAAGTATCCAGCTTCGGGCATCTTCACTCCGACCTGCTGCTGTGTTTTTGCCAACGTTTTGACCTTGCGAGTCGGTTCGTCTCCCTCGTGATTGAAGATGATCTCCTCGTCAATCCCAACAGTAATCTTTTGTATCGTAACCTTCTTTGCCTTGCTCAGCCAGTCCGGATTAGGACTCAGTTTGATGTACACAGAGACTGGATCCATTGGCCCGTAGCTCCATCTCGGCAGGCTGATCCCAAGAGTGACCAGGTGGTCCGTTACTCGTTCGGCGCTCTCTGGTCGATTGTACATGCCAAATGTTGAGAGGGTGTCGTATCGTTGTATGGGTACTGCGAAAGGATACTTTTTCTGTTCTTGAGGCCCTTGTTGCACTGTCACGACGAGTTCGTAGAATGTCTCAGCTGTCCGACTAGGTAGTTGTAGACTCGCGGGCGGTACCCTCCTCGCTACTTCCTCTCCACCACGCCCATAGGGTATGAAGATGACGAACGGGAGGTCCATGCATAGTATGCTCTCGTGTTCTCTTCCAGGTGAACATCGATAGAGGAGCATTTCCTTGCCAACAATGTCGGTAATCTCCTTGCGCGGGGCTGCCAGGTGCTTCTTGGTGACCGAGTCGGCAGACGGGTGTATTGTTTCGCGCCGGTGTAGTGCGATGGTGACGAGGGAGACATTGACGGGCGCTGAGACTCCAATGAGTGGCCGGATCTCGACCTTGCCTTCTATGCGAGGCTGTGGTGTGTGTCAGCATCAGGCCAGTACCCTTGCTGAGGGAAAGTTGGTCCTACAGCGACTCCAGGCGAGCTACTTGGAGCGCAAGAGGTCCAATGAGAAGAGAAGGAGAATAGAGACACGTACGAGTGTTGCTGATATGCCTGGATAGCCAACCAGAAAGTTACTGTTTGGCGGTCCTGAGACGCGAACAAAGGCCGACATGTTCGTTTGTCGCAGCGCAGGCCTGGGAGGGCAGCGAGCGCTGCATGGGCGTGGGTATGGCCTTTCAGGATGTGCTTGGCCCGTCCAAGTCGCGCGTTTGAGGCTTTACTGTGCTGGTGCGCCGGCCAACTACGCCGTGCTTGGAGCTAGGTAGCCTTCCGGGCAGCGAATTGTGGGGGTGGAATGATGTAGGCGCCTCGTATCTCGAACCAGCGGGGCTCTGGGTGGCAGCGGCGCCGGTGGATGCGCGGCGGGCCCGTGGGTTAGGGATGCGATATGGATACGGTCGTGTTTGGAGTGAATGCGCGGCGGGGATACTGTGGTGGATTGCGTCCCGAGAGTCGTAGGGCTGCCCGAGTGGAGCCTATGCGGCTGGCGCTTATGATGTCCAACGTCTACCAGCGTGGAGAGCCCAGGGGGGCGGAGCGCGATGCTGGCTATAGCAATGATGATGGCAGCGAATGCAGGGTGATTGCATGCAGTAAACGCAGTCGGATAGCCGCGCGATGTTCTAGGCGCGGCGAGGGTGGAGGTAGAGGAGCTTCTCGACTTCGAGGGTCCGATTCGTGCGCCATCATCGCTCCTCCCAAACCACAAACACGACCGATCGGCACCCGCGACCATGTCCGTCACGGTGCGTCCCGACCCTGTGCCATCTCAGACGCGCTGCTAACTGCACACAGCTACATACCACCAAGGGCGACATCAAACTCGAAGTATTCTGCGAAGCCGTCCCCAAGACCGCTGAGAACTTCCTCGCCCTCTGCGCATCCGCCTTC